TATATATATATATATATATATATATATATATATATATATATATAAATACCCATGTTAATACCCTGTGCAATAACCCTGTATAATACCCCCCATGCACCTTTTCCTCCTTTTGGCACCTTCTTCTTCTTTTTGACTATTGAGTCGACGTAACGAGTACATTTCTCCAGCGTGAGATCAATTAAATCAATCAATCAATAAAAACAAAGGTTTACTGTGAAACAGATGTTTCTGCAGTAGATGCAGGGATGGACACATTTAACCGCACTACTGGACAGGCTGATGAAGATTCTCAGTCATCCAGGTCAAAGTCATTCCAAAAAAGTAGTTTGGGCTACTCTATAAAGCTTGGAACTCAACGCTAATTCTGACATTTTGAATTGAAAAAGCTTCCTGAATGGGAAACGAAATGTCTTCAAACTTGAAAACAAAGTCGAGCTGATTGTTTTGTAACTATTATGGAATGACGCACTGCTGGATGTACGGTAAGATGGATCGACAGAGGGATGAAAATGGCCTCTGATGGAGAAGGGGATAAAATTGTACAAACAAGCTTTAAATTCATATCTTATTTAGTAGTTGTTAACCCTCTGTGTGCCTTAGTAATTACCCCAAATCATCTAATGACTTAGACTCTCCTGATGGTGAACTGTGCACATAGAGCCCACACCTTCTTGGTTTTTAAGGCTTGATAGAAGCTCTTTTCACTGCAATATCAAACCACAAACTTATCCAAATGCTCCTTACCAAGTGCACAGCATGCTCTTAAGGCTGCCTGCAAGTGTTCACATTACATTTAGGTGCAAACACTTTACATCTTAATGTATTTCAGCTGAACATGAAAATGTCATATTGGACCTTTAAGTTCTTGGAATTTAAATCCACTTTAGAAATGAATGGAAATAATCTGATCCTAGAAAATGTAAGTAGACCAAGAGATCAACCTTTCCCCTCCTTTTCCATCTGCAGTCACCTTGTCTATTCAAAGCTTTCCTGCACCACTTAGAATCCTGGAGAAGTTATGTGACGGTAAAGTATGTATACTTTTGTGCATTTGGAGAAAAAGAAACGATACAAATGCATCTTTGTGCGCCCGAGTGGTTAAGGCTTTTTCTCCAACAAGAAGGAGGCCAATAGGGGAGCAGAGCCAACAGGTGGAGCGTGGGTAAAGGAAGAACTTTTTGCATTTTTATAAAGATCAGCATCTCTGTTTTTGAAACGGTGACACTGCAAAAATGTCTTGGTAGAGGCTGAACTGTTGCCCAATATGAACAAATATTCACGCTCCCAATTCAAACCTCCTGCTGACAAACAGACACAAAATTGTATAAGCTACGTAGATTCACAGCTGCACAAAAGGTATGGATGTGATATTAATAAAAAATATATATTTATAAGATTTTACCCCGATATCAGGAAGTTGTATTTCTCCTTTTCATATCAAGAGAAACTGTAAGCATTCATTGTTGCCCTTTAACCGAAATATGCAACCAAAAGCTCTGTCATGTGGCTCTATAATTAAATCTTAGTGGTTAAAACAGGAAGTGCCAAAGGAACCTACAACAAATGGTCAGAATCCTGAAGGCCCTGAACATTTAAGACAGGAGGAGGTACCACAGTTGGTTTCCTTTACCTCTCGTTCCCTTTCTTTGAGTTCTGCTTCAGTTTCTTTTACTTTGTTTACGAACATTTGCCGCATTTCTTCCTCTTTTCGCTGCAGGTCTCCTAGAAACTCTTTCCTTTTGGCCTCATACGTTTCTTGAAGACTGCAGGAACGAAAAGAGCAGACGAAAAATAGAAATGTTATTGTTTCTAAACAATAGAGATTGACATTTGAGACACTCTGTGGTTTTTCTCCCTCTCTGCTTCTCTGCAGACTCAGTTAGCGAGATTCTCTTGGTCTACCTGAAAGGCTGGCTGTCTGGGTCTGTATCTTTAAAGCCCATCTCCTCCAGCTTGCAGCGCCGGTACAGCTCATAGTGGCGAGCGTGTGTTTGCTCCCTCAGATCCTCCATGTTGACTCGGATCAGCATCTCTCGCAGCTTTACAAAGTCACAGTGGCTCTCGTTTTCAACTAAAGGAGAAAAGAAGCAAACATCACATTTAGCACAAAGAGGGTTATTTTTAATACAAGTTACATCAAACGCCAAATTGTTTTTTAGATCTTATTCATATAACTTAGCTTTGTTTAAAATTCAGGCAATATAGACTTATGTAAAAGGAAAACTTATTTTCTTTTAATTCTTTAAGTCAAATAAATAATAGAAAAAGTGAAATTGATTCATGTTATATAGCTGGAGGTGATTTGTTTTAGTTTTCCTTTATCTTTGCACACATAGAAACTGAAAGGTGTCCATTCCTGGCTCAAGATCATAACAATCTAGAATCTTCTACAGATTTTCGCCATGTACTGCCCTTTATTTATCTTCATCAGTATCCCCCCCACTCTTCAGCTATGGAAATACAGAAAATTTGAATAAAAAATGTTACTTGCAGCTATTCCCCAAAAATGGAAAAGCAAAGCACTAAATATTGAAATGTATTGATAAGTTTGCATGTCTTTTTTGCGTGTCTCTTGTGGTTTTACTCCTTGCAGGGCAAACAGTAGGAAGTGTTTTCTGACAGACGGACAGTAGGCGAGAAGAAACTGGTTCTGCTCTAAGCAGCATTTCTATTCTGCTGAAGCCTTTAATCAGGGGGACCATCAGTCAAGCAAAACATATGAACTGATCTGGAAGAGTCAGAGTCCTTTCTGATAAAGTTAGAGCTCAGTATGGTTTTATTGGAATTAAATGCACATAGTGGTTAAAACTTTCTTATTCAAGGCTGCTTCAGATACAAAATAATTTCAATAAAACAACGGTGGGCAGGACACCATCCAGGATCCTACTTCGCTCCAATAGTTGATGGTCCTACCCCCAAAAATTCATGGCGGTAAAATCCAGTCTGCATTTTCATTCACATCAGAAATCAAACTTGAGCCAGAAGGAAACAAAAAGCTTTGAATGTTTTCCTTTTTTCCCCTCAGAGTAAGAAGATCAGGGTTTAGCTGTAAAAAAGCTCCGTTTCAGAGGCCGCACTAAAAAGGACCGCAGTAAGAGGACAATCTAAAAAGATGGGCTGAATCACTAATCAGAGTCAATGACCCTCACATCTTTACCCAACCGCCGTGTCTGTAGACTATAAGCAGGACTCCAAGTATCATGAACAGCTCACTTGCCCATGTAGGGGGTGGATGGGGGGGTTCTGTTTAAATGCCACCAGAAACGGAAAGCCTTGAACATGGAGAGGTGACCAAATGACCTTTAACCTACCCTTTAAAAATCCTAATAGTCAGAATATTTAACCTTGACTTGTGAGAAACAATAGAAAAGAAGCAAACTGGTAAATTACTGAACAGACAAAACAAGAATGTGACAGATCGACCCAAACAGACTCTTTAATGTTAACAATAAAGAAAAAATACAAAAAAACCCCAGAGACCCCAAATTCATAATAAAAACATCATACAAAAAAACACTACAGATTTTGTTGGCTAGCACCCCGTAAGTGGTAAAAGGAAAAAACAAGGTACAGGAAAAAAAAAAAAAAAACAGCAGCTTTATGGAGGCGCTAAGAGTTCTGAAACTGCCTGTTTATCGGCTTTTTAATAACCTCTCTGTTCTGGCCTCCTACTGAGGGCTAAATAAAGGCCAATCCTCTGACTGGCTGCAGATCAGAGCACCGAAGCAAGGAAATCTGCTGACACAGAGGAGGCTTTTTACCCCTGTGCTAACATGCATCCTGGGTGATCCAATCACACATGAAGACTTCAAACTACTGAAAGTGAAAACTAAGGAACGAGAGAGGAAGGAATTTACACCAGTGACCGCATCCAACATTTAAAGGACCACCTGCTGACGCGATACGAGTCAATGCAAGAATCATAGTATCAACAGTGTAGTCATGATTCTCAATCGTTGTCTTTTATTCCTCAGAGTAAAATTGTAAAACAAAGCTTACTATAGTTATATTAAACACTGTTTATTTACGAAGTAGAAGAGGAATTTCACTAATTCCTCACATGATCACAATTTCACAAACAGTCTGAGTAGAAATACCCTCAGCAAATCTTACAGCCATAACAAGGCTTCTATAAATGTAATTCTATATTTCTAATTCTGATGCTGCTCTTAGTAGAATTAGTGGAGTTCATTTAAACTGGCTAATATCTGACATCGGTCCAGCTTGTAAACCTAACTTTCAATAGGGCAGAGGAAAGCTCCCCTAAGGCTTTATCTTTTCCTCCTTTATGCTTTGCTTAAAACAGTTTTACTTGAATTTGGGAAAAAAACATCCCATTGTAACACAGGTATTCACTAAAAGCATCTATACTCTGAAAAGTATCAGTACTCAAACACTGTATCCAGATAATACAAGTATTGTTTGAATATTTTTGCTATTTTTAAATTATTCTCATCCTAAAAGGAAAAACACCTCAAAGGACCTTAAAATATTGCCAAATGGTGTTATATCTGGGTTATTCATCTTGCATGATTTGCACACTTATTTAAAGGTATAGTGCAGGTAACTGCGAATCTTTTGGAAAGTAAGCGTGTATGAGTGATGCAAAGAGCAACTTTTCAACAGAGCGTGCACGAGGAGAAATAGGCTCGTGGACGCTCTCGCATGCATTTGATAGGCGTTCCCTCGTAGGGGCGGGTACAGGGTTGAGCATGTGCATGTTTTTTTTTAAATGGAGAGGGCGAGTCTTCTCAAAAATTCATGAAAATCCTCCACTATACCTTTATAATTGAAAAGAAGAATCTTTCATGTTAGAAATATATTTATGTGGCATTTTTTAGTCCCCAATTCATCAGAAATGGTGTCAGGTATCAAATAGTGTCTGGATGTCATTTCCAATTAACATGAACTCAGAATAAAATTAAAATCAAACCAGCAGCTTAGAGTTTAAAATAGGTTTGCAGCTGTCCAGATGGTTATGGCAGATTTGTCCTGGAGAAAAGTTGTTTGATCAGAGAAAACAAATAACTGAGCTGTTTGGCTATAGGAGACGAATAGTTTGAAGGAGTAAAAGCAAGGCTTTGCAATCTAACACCAATGCACCAATGCTAAAACACGACATTGGTAGCATCAAACGGAGGGTCTGTTTCACTGCACAATAGGTGGAATGATACAGCTAGTTCACTGTCTTATGATTTGACTTTATCTTAAAGTCCATTAGGGATGGAATGGTTTATGAAAACCGTCCGAACCGCTCGGTTCAACTGTCTCGGTTCGATTAGCGTGTGTTGCGTTCGGTTCATGCTCTGCTCCTTTTT